AAATCTCAAAGGCTTTTTCTCTTCCCAACCGTTGCTAGAGAAGTTACACTTAAACAAGTGTGTCTGCCACGGATCTCTGTAAGCTTTTCCTCTGGGTCCTTATTCCACCAGGAATATGCCATTATTTTAATTGGGAAAACAAAAGTTTGGCTTCGAGTTGTTTTTTTCTTTTGCCATGTATTTTTACTAATAGTTAAAGGGCAAAAGCATGAATAGTTATTTGCCATTAACTTCATTTTAAATCTCATTTCTTCATTTCAAAAAAATTTTATTGCAACATTAGGATTTAAAAATTCATAATGAAACTCATTTCCCACACACTAGGATTCAATATTTTCATTTTTAAATAAAAAAGAAAACAAATATAACAATTGATATTCCTATCTTTATATTACAGGATTAAAATAGAAACTGCAGCTGTGGGTCTCACTATCAATTGCTATGGAAAGTTAATCATATTCCTTTAAATAAAAGTCCTACTGTCAGAAAGACAAGATGGAGACACTTGTGCTCCATCAATCTGTTAAGTAGCACAAGGTTAAATGGACAGGGCCTAAAAGATATCAACCTCTGCAAGAAAACAACAGAACTTTAATAAATTTTGGTTCACTTTCTTGTATCCTCTTAAGTGTTCCCAATTTTTTAATTATGAGGAATCATGAAAACACATTTTCCAATATTACAAATAAAAGTGTTCTTATTCAGCACTTTTCAAACTTTTAATCACTGGACAGTCTTAAGGAAAGATGTTCCCATGTAACATCTGGCTGTTGAGTATGCTCAGAGGTTTTTATTGTAGAGGCAGTAGTAGAGTTAGATGGATTTAAAATGATAGAGAGGGAGAATCCAAGATGGCTGCTCGGATAGGCACCTAGCCGCAGCCACATGCAACAATTTCAATAAAATACAACTAAAATATAAAATGGACATTACCCAGAACTACAGGAAAGTCGACTGAATGGAAATTCTACAACAAGAAGCAAGGAGGAAACCAGAAGGAAGAACGGAGGAGCTGTAAAAGCCCAAGGTACGGAGACACGTGGCACGCGGAGAGGACGGAGCCGGAGAGGAGGGAGGCAGAGTGCCTGGCTGGCGTTCCCTAGCGGGAAGGAGATAAAACTCCAACTGTGTTGGGCCCCAGTTCTGACTTCTCTGAACCCCAGTTCTAGGCCAAACCCTGGGGACCCAGGCTCACACAGAGGGAGCTGGGCTGAAAGGCAGAACCCCGGGGAAGAGGCGAAAGGAGGTCCCGGCGGCGCCAAGCAGAGATGGGACGGTTGGCTGTGCCGCGGGATTGCCCTGGTGGGAAGGAGACAGGGGCTCCAGTCTGCTCTGAACGCCACCTCCAACTCCACTTCCAACTGAACTTCCAGTTTCGGGCCCATTGGGGGAGAGACTAGACTGTTTGGCAGCAGGCGAAAATCGAGGGCGCCTTCCTCTCAGAGGTGCTTGCAAGGAGTACTGAAGGACCCTGAGACTCAGGAGTCGAATAGGGCGGGGCTGACGAAAGCCAAAGCTGTAGGCTCCATCCTGAAACCCCGCCCCATCAGGAAAGCTGCCTGCGAAAATGCCTAAACCAAATAGATCACAAAGGAAAGAAATGGAGGATAAACAGCGACTGGATATAGAGTTCAAAACCACACTTACAAAGTTTTTCAAGAGTTTCCTAGAAATGAGACTTATGAGGATATGAAAAGGGATCAACAAGAAATAAAGAATACATTGTCTGAAATAAAAAATATTATACAGAGTCCTAAAAACAGAATAGAAGATCGCAAGAATCAAGTCAAAGATTTGGAACAGAAAGAGCCAGAAGACACTCCTCTGCAGAAGCTAGAAGGCAAGAGAATCCAGAAAATTGAAGATGATGTAAGAAACCTCTGGGACAACTTCAAACAATCCAACATCAGAATTATGGGGGTCCCAGAAGATGAGAGAGAGCAAGATATCGAAAACATACTGAAAGAAATAGTGACAGAAAACTTCCCCCACCTGGGGAAAGAATTGGACTTACAAGTCCAGGAAGCACACAGAACTCCAAACAAAAGGAATCCAAAGAGGACCACACCAAGACAAATCATAATTAAGATTCCAAGAGCAAAAGACAAAGAGAGAATATTAAAAAGCAGCAAGAGCTAAGCAGGTAGTCACCTATAAAGGAGCACCTATATGATTGTCAGCTGATTTCTCAACAGAAACCATGCAGGCCAGACGGGAATGGCAAGAAATATTCAAGGTGATGAATAGTAAGAACCTACAGCCAAAGATAATCTATCCAACAAAGCTATCACTCAGATTCGAAGGTCAGATAAAGAGCTTCACTAATAAAAAAAAAGCTAAAGGAGTTCATCACCACCAAACCAGAATTATATGAATTGCTGAAGGGGGTTCTTTCAGAAGAGAAAGTAAATAAAGATAAAAATTATGAACAACAAATACGTAACTATCAACAAGTGAATCTAAAAACCAAGGAAATTTAAAAAAAAATCTGAGGAACAATATTAACTGTTGAATATAATAGAATCAGAGGTATGGAAGGGGAGTGAACTGATGATTCTTGGGGAAAAGGGGATAGGGGGATGTGGGAAGAGACTGAACATAAACTGTGCACCTATGGATGAGGACAATGGGGAGTGGGGAAAGGGCAGAGGGTGGGGTGGGAAGGTGGGGGAAGGAACATTTGTAATAATATGAACAATAACAATTTATTTAAGAAAAAAATAGATAAAATCATAATGAACAAACTGGAAGTTACTTCTTTTTTTTAAATAAATTTTTATTGTTCATATTAAAAAAATAAATAAATTTTAAAAAATAAAATAAAATGATAGAGAGGAGAGAGAAATAAGAAAATAAAGTGGCAGAGAAGTGTATTTTTTGCAGACTTCTTAACCATCATTTTTAGCAGTTACAGTTGCACTACATTAGAGCCATTTGTCTACACAGACCTCTGTCCTCCACAGTAAGAGGCTAAGACTGCTACAGCTTCTGAGTTTCTGCTGTCATTTCTTGCTAGTGTCTATGTATTATCCCAAAGTAATCCCCTTATTTACAACATTTTATTCAACTAAAAAAAGGGACCAACTTATGTATTAGGTGTATAAAAACATGTCAAAAATACATCAAAGAAATTCCCAATGAAGACTTGAGGAATTCTTCTCATGCAATATATACCAGCATGAGCTTGGATTTGGCTGTTCGAGTTCTCTTTCATTTTTGTTTGCTTCTGAGTTCTGATAGTTCTGGTTTCTGTGTAAGTGGCCTCTGGAAAAGTCAGTAAAACTTGTGAGATGTTGTATTTGTCTTTAAGTCTACTTCATGTGAATCCATATAAAAATTCCTCAAGCCTGGCTGGTGTGGCTCAGTGGCTGAGCAACAACCTATGAACCAGGAGGTCAAGGCTCGATTCCAGGTCAGGGCACGTGCCCATGTTTCAGGCTTGATCCCCACGAGGGGATGTGCAGGAGACAGTTGATCAATGATTCTCTCTCATCATTAATGTTTTTATCTCTCTCTCCCTCTCCCTTCCTCTCTAAAAATTAATAAAAATATATATTTCTTAAAAATTGCTCAAAATAAAGTGCTTGTCATCATCAAAGAAAACTAGAACTGAGCCAAAATAAACCTTCAATTCTAACCCAGTGCTTCTCAGACTTGAACGTGCATACAAATCCCTTGGAAATCTTGTGAAAATGAAGACTCTGACTCAGTAGGTCTGAGGTTGGGCCCAGGATTCTGCATTTTTAATCAACTGATGTGTGATGTCAAATCTTCTAGCTCTACACTGCATACCTCTTTTTCCTCACTCCTTCTATCTCTAAGTCCTCATTCCCATGCCTTTTCATTTTCTTACTTTATCCTTTTTCTTACATCAAATCTGCCAAGAGTAACCACAGTAATCCTTTAGCCTTATACATAGAACCCTTGGAACTATAAAGGTTCCCAATCTGTAACAAATATAAAAAGCGGAGTACAGAAGGGTCAAAACACAACAGTGATAAACTTTCTCAAAATGTGTCCAAAGATTTATCATCAAATGTAGATGATATAATTTTTAGGGTATGTAGTTATCTTGATATATTTCTTAGCAATAAAATATTTTCCTTCTTAATAGGAAGTAAGAACCTGTTATTAATCTGAAGATTTGATAACATTCTATAGCTGAGCTGCTAATTACTTGTACTAATCCTTAATTCCTGTTAATAATATGTCTTTTTTTGTTGTTGTTGTTTACTCTAAAATTATTAGAAATTCTGCTACCACATACATATACCTAATCTTCACGATATCAGCTTTCTAATAAATTAATATTGGAACTATATATGCCTTATGCTCTTATGTAAAATTCATTTATTGCTGCATTATTCTATCAAATGACTCATAATTCTCACAGGAATTGTTAGATTTATAATGAGCCCTTTATATAATAAATGTAAGCATTGCTATGGTAACAGAAATGTTCTTACCAAAAGACTCTGTGCACCTAACCAAGGCCCTGCAGTCTCATTTTACAGTGAGGAAACCTGAAGCACATCCAGGTGATGCAATCAAGTGATCACAGTGCAAACACACTATGAAACTTTAAAACCAATCTCAAAATCATTATACACTACAGGTCACACTTAGTTAAATTTCCTTCTAGGTACAGGAACTAATTACTTAAATTAAAATGATGTAAAATAGCTGGCTTCTCAGAAACATTTAGGAATATGATTTCTGTATAATGTTAGACTCTTGCCAATATAGTGGGATCCAATTCTGTGGTGTTGTTTTCTCCCAAGAAAATTGAAGCAGATAATTCCACTCCATCAAACCAGACGACAGTGCATTCTAGTGGCCAAAGGAGGGCATACTCAGAAATGGTTTTGGGACTCAAAGGCTGACAAATATTTAGAATCTAGAAGCTAATTTTAAAAATTATAAATAATATATGAATTGCTCTAACCTTACAAAATTTTGCATTTAAGATTAAAATGAAGATATAAGAAAAAAAATATTACCCAAAAGCTCCAGTCACCACTCCAGTTATGTCCATGTGGCCCCTGTTTTTTAGCTGACACTGTATTATTCTCATCCACAACTGGATTAGGATTTTCCTCTGATTCTTCCGGTGGCTCTGTGGCAATGCTTGACTCTCCTTCGTTTATTGCCTGGAAATAAGTATCAACCAATTCAAATTATTTATTAAGAAATGTCCATTTTTAAAAGAAAAGTTAATGTTCAAAAGATGTCAATTAACTTGAAAAGGATAATATTTAAGCTCTTAAAAAACAGCAACTAATACTTTTTTGCTTCTATAGTTCATACATTTACATGTACAAAAAACATTTCCCAACTACTACTATTTGCTAGTTTGTTTATTTGGCACTGGGGATTCAAAAGTGAATAAAACAAAGTCCTTTGTCTCCAGCACTTCAGTCAACTAGAGGAAGATTTAAACAGTAGGGGGAAAAAAAGTGATGGGGATGACAATTGGTCCAACCTCTTGGGAGAATAATGTCCAATGCCTAGTAGAGACTACGATGGGTATATACTAACAACCCAGCAATGTAATGTGCACATGGAGTCAACCATGTTTGTAACACTAAAAAAGTGTAAATGACTTACTGTCCACTGATAAGGAAATTGGTAAACTAATTCTGGTTTATTCAAACAATGGAGTTAAAATAAATGGATCAGATGTCTCCACCAGGCATTGGCCCCCAATCTATAGAGCACTCGGGCAAAAGGTTATACCCTATGCAAGATATGGGCCTATCAGGTGGGTGACTCATGAAAGAGCAGTCATTATGGAGAGAGAAGAGAGAAAGAGGAGGTGTGGAAGGGGAGGGGGAGCAGCCATTATCAGAGCACACAGCTCTTAAATACCTCTGCTGCTGCCGCCACCCGTGTCTCTGTTTAACAAACATCATCAGGGTTCCAGGGGAAAGCTCCCGTGGCACCTATGTGGCCCAGCAAAGGGTTAAATCAGGCTCAACTTAATCTTAGGCTTCTTTTTAAAAAATATATATATATTTTATTGATTTTTTTACAGAGAGGAAGGTAGAGGAACAGAGAGCTAGAAACACTGATGAGAGAGAAATATCGACCAGCTGCCTCCTGCACACCCCCTACCGGGGATGAGCCCGCAACCAATGTACATGCCCTTGACCGGAATCGAACCCGGGGCAGACGCTCTATCCCCTGAGCCAAACCGGTTTCAGCAATCTTGGGCTTCTTAAACTCTACAAGTAACCATAATGTCCACAAGTTGTCCACAGGCTCCTGATGCAAGAACCGATCCCCATATGCCATTCGAGCAGCAGTTACTGCCCGGCACACTGGACTCTCTGCCAAAGGGAACCTGTGACTGTCCCTCCCCAGCTGCCAGTTACGCCTCGGGTCCTAGAAGAAACAGCTTGCGAGCTCAGCACAGCCGCCAGGACTTCCTTCCTGTAGAACAGAACCGCGTCCTCTGGCACAGCACTCCTGCAGGAGGACATGGCCGGCCCTGTCCTCGCTCTTTTATCGGATGTCATGGTACTGGAAGAGGTCACCTCTCCTCGAAGCCCTTGGAATACCTGGGTAGCAACGTGGGTACGACTGAGTGAACAGCAATAGGAGTTTGGGTTCTTCAAACTCCCGTTGGAAGTTTGACGGACAAAGTTGCTGGTAGGTGGGCAGCATCACCACCATTGCACACGATGAGGCTCCCTGGAGACCCACTGCTTTGGATCCCTTACCCGAGATATCCCTGACAAAGGAAAGGACTCCTATGATCAGAACTGGCTGAACTTCACCCGGTCGCCTTCACAGTGAATGCTCCGGTCAACAATTGGAGCCATCTGCACAGGTTTGGGCCTCCGCTTGGGCCACTGATAAGAGATGTACCCTTTGGCGTAAAGAGCTTTGAAACTCTCTCGCTTCCCAGATCCTCAAAATATAAATTAAGGTCACACCTGTCTCGACATAGACTAAAGCCATAATAATAGCCCTTGCCAAGCAAGACCCTTCTAATCCCCATCAGAGTTCCAAACATGACTCATGGTGACCCAGGCACTCATTTTATTTCTCAAAACACACTTTGTCGGGATCTTGAACAAGGTACTGCAAAGGAACCCTCATCTTCCTTCCCAGGGTGAGGATAGTGCTCAGAAGAAACACAGGTACTCCTGCAACAGAAGTAGGCTTTCACTCTTAAGATTAAACAACCGGTTCTTCCATTTGCCAAAGAAGGTTCTAAACAAAACTAGTTGAAACCAAAAACAACGTGGTTGACAGCACAGTGATTTAAACTCTAGTCTGAGCTGGTGGTTAAGGGAAGGGGGTGAGGCTGGGTCAGTGTGACATCGTGACGTCGGGTCAGAATGCTGACCATAGGCCGGAGTCCATGGGCCTGAGCTAGACATCTGGAACGGGACAGTCCGGGGCCAAACCCCTGCACCCCAGCCCGCGGAGCAGCAGACCTCCCACCGCGACCCGGAGGGCACGGGCTCGCAGGAAGCACGGGAAGCCCTGTCCTTGGCACCAACTTCCCCCACTTCTCCAAAAAGCACCCAGAAAGAGCAGGCAGGAACTAAGGATCCCAAGGAGAGCGGGTTCCAACGCGGAGAAAGCTGGTAAGCCGCCTTTGGGGAGCCCGACCCTGCAAGGAGCCACTTACCGGGCGGACCGTCGGAGGACCCTCCATCGCAGCTCCCTCTGCCGCGGCCGCGAACCGCGCACGCGCCCCGCGTGGGGAGGGGGTGCCAACTGTGCGCCCCGAGCCCACCCGCGCCCCGCCTGCCCGCCCGGCCACCGCGGCCCCGGCCTGCGCCGCGCGCCCTCTGGCGGCGAGAGAGGGTCCCTGCCTCTGGCCAGCTCCGAACAAGGTGAAGTTGACTTGTTAGCGGGGAAGTCAGTCCTGGCCAGGGATCCGGATCCGGAGGAGCCTGGTCCTACCTACCTACCTACCTACCTGCTTAAAAAACCTCAAACTCCTGTGCCTGCCCCGAAATAGCATCCAGGCGCAAGTCACCCCAAAGTCCTCCTGCGCCCCAAGACATACCCGCTCCAACGTGCACAAAAGGGAATAATTGCATGGCCAAGACTTGTTCCTTCAAGGAAGGGATTGGAGTTACTAACTTGAGTATTGCGAATCCTGGTTTCCAGAAATGAAGCTATAAAAAAAAAAAAAAAAAAAAAAAAAAAAACATTCTGCAACAATTTAGGAAGATTGAATATGAACTGTATGTTAGAGTTGGTTTGATAGAATAATTAATGATTTGTGGATACATTTATTGATGTTCATGTATGAATAATGCATACTTTGCGGTTATGTTGGGAAATATTTTTATTATTAGAAAGTTTGTGCTCAAGTATTTAGGAGTGAAGTGTTATAATGTCTGCAACTTGATTTCAAATGCTTCCACAAAGACAGTTGCCATAAACAGTGTGCTTGCCCGTGCCCACGCGCAGACACACAGAGAAATTGATATGTTGACACCTAATCCCCTTTCTTCCTGGGAGGAAAAGGGATGCATTCTACCAATAGCACGTGGGCTCTCACCACACACTGAATCTGCTGGTGTCTTTTTTTTTTTTTTAATAAATCTTTATTGTTCAGATTATTACAAATGTTCCTCTTCCCCCCCCTCCATTGTTCCCCTCCACCAGGTTCCCACCCCACCCTCTGTCCTTTCCCCAGCCCCCTATTGTCCTCATCCATAGTGCACAGTTCTTGTTCAGTCTTTTCCCGAACCCCCCATTCCCCTTTTTCCCTAGAATTATCAGTTCACTCTCCTTCCTTACCTCTGATTCTATTATATTCACCAGTTAATATTGTTCACCAGATTTTTTAATTCCCTTGGTTTTTAGTTTCACTTGTTGATAGTTACGTATTTGTTGTTCATAATTTTTCTCATTATCTTCTTCCTCTTTCTAAAAAAAACCCTTCATCAATTCATCTACTGGTATCTTGATCTCAGACCTCCAGACTCTAGAATCCCAAGAAATAAATGTTTGACGTTTACACCACCCCATCTATGGTATTTTTGGTATAGCAACCTGAATAGATTAAGATAGATAGAGCCGAAACTGGTTTGGTTCATGGATAGAGCATTGGCCTGAGACTGAAAGGTCCCAGGTTTGATTCCTGTCAAGGGCATGTACCTTGATTGTGGGCACAACCCCAGCAGGGGATGTGCAGGAGGCAGCTGGTCAATGTTTCTCTTTCATCGATGTTTCTAGCTCTCTATCCTTCTCCTTTACTCTGTAAAAAATCAATGAAATATATTTTTAAAAGATAGATAGATAGATAACAAAATATTAACAATTGTTGCATTTATATGGAGGGTATACCACTCACTGTTCAATAATTCTTTTTCTTTTTTCTTTTTTTTTAACTAATCATAATGTAAAGATGGGGAGAGGGAAAGTCAAATCCAGTTCTACAGAAAGTTGAATATGGAGTATATTTTTATAATATAAATTACATGCTAAAGGACAAATTACCCAATACGATATTCAATAAAAGATAGGGTCTTGTCCTGCAAAACTTAGCATAAGCTGCGTTTTTCTTCACTATCATATACAAGAATATCCTGATGAAAAAAACAACTACCTATTCTTTGAACTGGAAACCACACCAAGAATTCTAATTCTAATTTCAATTTGCATTGAAGGAGTTTAATATTGCCAGTATATTTTCAATGCTTCAAGATGAATGTGGTCATTATGTAAAGTATTTTTAATGTATTTCAAAAGAATTTTTTTAATTTGAATCAAATTCAAACTTACAGAAAAGTTGCAAATATGTTACAACAATCTTTTCCCTAAACCATTTGAAAGCAATCAACATTGTCCCCTATCAATTCTGAATACCTTAGTGAATGTTTCCTACATACAAAGATATTCTCCTAATATATAAATAAATTAGAACATATTTAAAACATATGACCAACAAAACTGGGAAATTAATATTATATCACTACCTTCTAATTATCACTCCCCATTAAAATTCTGCTGATTTTCCTATGGGACACAGCAAAAACAGTTTTGAGAGGGAAGTTCATATCCTTACAAGCCTATTGCAAAAAACTAGAAAAAATGGTAACAAATGATCTAACTCTACAACTCAAAGAGTTAGAAAAAGAGCAACAAGAAAAGCCCAGTGTAAGCAGAAGGAAGGAAATAACAAAAATCAGAGCAGAGATAAACAACATAGAGACCAAAAAAACAATACATAAGGTCAACAAAACCAAGAGCTGGTTCTTTGAAAGGATAAACAAGATATATGAACCTTTAGCCAAGCTAACCAAGAAACAAAGAGAGAGGACCTAAATAAAAATTCTGCTGATTTTCCCAATAATGTCCTTTATAGCAGAGAATCTAGCCCCAAATAACAATAAGTTGCTTTGTCTTCTTCAGTGTTAAACACTGCCCTCCCTCCTCATCCACCTTAACACCCTTGCCCAGACATCGCAGTCCCTGCATTCTACACCCTCTTCACTCTGCTCAGGTTCTAAAACCCCTCCGAGTGCCACCCATACTGGGATAAGGAGGTTGTAGACAGAGGGTGTCCTTTCCCCTTACAGATAGTAAAAGGGAGTTTGTCCTAACATCCAGATAAGAAAGTTCCTGCCTTGAACTATTTTTGAGGGCTCTATTCTGGCCACAACCTCCTTTTCAAGGTCACACTCTAAATAATGAGAACCCTGGAATTCCTTGCCCAATCTGTCCCAAACCCACTTCCAGGAACTTCAAAGTCCTCCTCCACAGGTTTGTGCTTCCAAGAGTGGATAACATCACTGGTGTGTACATGCTCAGGCTGTGGAGTTTCCAACAGATGGCTGTTTGTAAGAGTGAGGATGAGGGTTGGACATGTAGACTGGGATGTCCATATATGTAAATTTGGGAATTATCATAATAACAATGGATTTTTAAAAATGTATACAAACATGGGCATCCATTTGTATTTTTGGCTAACGCTCCACAAATGCTAGAAGCAGGGCTTGTGAAAGGGAAATAATAAAATCAAAGAGACTAATTCAAAGCCTACTGCAATGACTCATAGACGAGGTGATGGTTTGGGCCGGTGTGGTAGTAATAGTAGTTGTGATTTTGAATGTATTTTGAAAGAAGAATAAAAAAGATTTCCAGGTGGATTGGTTATGCAGTATGAGAGAGTAAAGTTAAGGACAACTCTAAAGCGATTGGCATGGACAACTGAAAGGATAGAACAGTGATTTACTATGATAAGAAAGCCTCAGAGAGGAACAATTAGGAGAGATATGAGTTTTAAATATGTTAAGTTTTAAATTTCAATTATATGTTGAAGTGGAAATGTGGAGTGGGAAGTTGTATATATAAACCTGAAAATCAGAGGTTGCAAATTTGGGAATTATCATAATAACAATGGTTTTTAAAGCTATGAAAATGGGTGAGGTCACCAGGTGACTAAAAGTAAGTAGTAAAAACATTCAATAACTTGTCCCAGGAACACTCCAATATATAGAAGTTGAGTGAAAGAAAAGGAAACAGCAAAGACTCTGAGAAGGAATGGTCAATGAGATAGAGGACTTTACCCTAAAGCCAAAGAAAGTATTTGAAGGAGGCTGGAAAATCAAAGTTAATAAAGATGTTAATCCTATCCTATATAATAAAGAGGTCATATGCAAATTGACCATCACTCCAACACACAAGATGGCCGCCTCCATGTGATCAAAGATGACCATCCTCATGTGGACACAAGATGACCGCTACAAGATGGCCAGCAGGAGAGGGCAGTTAGGGGTGACCAGGCCTGCAGGGGAGGGCAGTTAGGGGTGACCAGGCCTTCAGGGGAGGGCAGTTAGGACAACCATACCAACAGGAGAGGGCAGTAATGGGTGACCAGGTTGGCAGGGGAGGGCAGTTAGGTGTCAATCAGGCTGGCAGGAGAGTGGTTAGGGGATGATTTGGCTGACAGGCAGAAGCAGTTAAGGGAGAGGCAGTGAAGTGGATAGGAGCCAGCAGTCCTGAATTGTGAGAGGGATGTCTAACTGCACATTTAGGCCTGATCCCAGTGGTCGGACATCCCTCAAGGGGCCCCAGATTGGACAGTGTGCAGGCTGAGCTGAGGGACACCCCTGCTCCCTATGCACTAATTTCATACACCAGGCCTCTAGTAAATCAAGTAAGATAAGAACTAAGAATAGTCCTGTGTTGCTCTGCGTTTAGCAATCTGAATGTCATTAATGACCTGGACATAAACAATTTCAATAGAGAATAGATTCAAAGGAAAGGAAAAGAAATATAAGGCAGCATGTAAAAACAATTAAGTTTTGCTCTAAATGAGGAAGTGAAATAGGCCAGAGGGAGAAGTATAATCAAAACAGGATTTGTTGTTTTGCTTTGTTGTGTTTTTTTTTTGTTTTTGTTTTTGTTTTTGCTGTTGTTGTTTAATAAGAGAAAGTTTATTTATAAAGTCACAGAGGTAGAAGTGAGCCGTAGAAGGAATGGGCTCAGGAAACGAGTTACAGAGGCAAAAGGGCCCTTGGAACGTAGTAGAGAGAAAGGTAAAGGTAATGTGGGGACGGGGGGTAGAAAAGAAAGATACTTAAGACGTAGGCTGAGTCCTTTGTCCTCTGTTTCGCTTTGTTTTAAAATCTTTATGTGTTTTTTAAGATGAAAACAATAATAGCATGTTTGAATACACATGGGAGTACTCAT